CCGGCTCCGGCTCGGGTAGGTGGGCGCTGCCCCGCACCCCCGGCGTGGCCACGGGGACCCCCTCGGTGCGGGGGTGCCCGGGCTGGAGCCAAACCTGGGCCTCGTCTGGCTGTGCACGGCTCTGGGGGGGCCCCACCCCGAGTCCTGTGTCCGGCTCTGGGCCCCTCGCTGCAGGAGGGACATGGAGGGGCTGGAGGAGGGGAGGGGGCTGGTGAAGGGGCTGGGGGGGAAGCCGGCTCCGGCTCGGGTAGGTGGGCGCTGCCCCGCACCCCCGGCGTGGCCACGGGGACCCCCTCGGTGCGGGGGTGCCCGGGCTGGAGCCAAACCTGGGCCTCGTCTGGCTGTGCACGGCTCTGGGGGGGCCCCACCCCGAGTCCTGTGTCCGGCTCTGGGCCCCTCGCTGCAGGAGGGACATGGAGGGGCTGGAGGAGACGAGGGGGCTGGTGAAGGGGCTGGAGGGAAAGTCTTACAGGGATGGGCTGAGGGAGCTGGGGGTGGGTAGCAGAGGAGGCTCAGGGGGACCTGATCACTCCCTACAAGCCCCTGAAGGGAGGTTGTGCCCAGCTGGGGTTGGGCTCCTCTCCCAGGCAACCAGCAACAAGACAAGAGGGCCTGGCCTGAAGCTGCTCCAGGGGAGGTTTAGGTTGGATATCAGGAGGCACTTCCTCATGGAAAGGGTGATCAGACACTGGGATGGGCTGTCCAGGGAAGTGGTGGAGGCACCATCCCTGGAGGTGTTGAAGGAAAGGCTGGAGGTGGCACTTGGTGCCATGGGCTGGAGATGTGGGGGTGTCAGGTCATAGGCTGGGCTTGGTGGCCTGAAAGGGCTTTTCCAGCCTCAGTAATTCTGGGATTCTGTGAGGAATTTTGCCCATGGGCACAGGGGCTGGTGGGGTCTTATCTTGGGGTCTTTTGCACCAGTGAGGAGTTAATGCCAAGGGAGGTCTTGTGCCAGTGTGCTTGGCCACACCCTGCAGCACCAAAAGGGCTTCATTTGCTCGTTCTCTACCAAATTTTGAAAGTTCAAGCCTGGGTTTCCAGGGGAGAGTTCAAAAAGTGATCGTGTGTGAAACCAAACACGGCTGGTGCTGCACAGCTGAGAGCAAAAGGCACCAGAGGCACCTGGGGGACTCAGGAAGCTGCTCCCAATGCTTTATAGTGATGCCAAAATAACCTTATTCCAAAGTCTGGTTTTGAAGAATTTATAAATGGTGCTTAATTTAATTTACTCACTTTTCCATGGACTATGTGCCATTCTGGATTAATTTATTGTACTTCCCTGATTTTTATTCTTTTTCCCACAGATATAATGAGTTTGGCTTTATTTCCCCCGAGGCTTCAGCTGTTCACAGACACCCCTGAGCTACCAGGGGGCTCTGGGGGTGCTGACCCCCGTGGGGCAGGCCCAGCCCCTGGGCACTGGTAGTGCTGGGTCTGGTTCCAGCCAGCTCTGGAGTTTGCCCCTCTCCCTGGGACTTGGCTGCAGCAGCCTGGATGAGCCCGGGCACAGGCAGTGGCTGCTGCTGCCCTCGGGAAACAGGAGGGAGCACTGCAGTGCCTTTGGATAAGCTGACCTGCACACACATTTCATTTTCCCCTGCCAATTATTTTGCTCTATAAAGTGAGGCAGTCTTGATTTTTAAAAAAATTAAAATATTAAAAAATTGGTTTAGGTCCCAAACAAATACAGCATCAAATCAGGGCTTGTGGCTGTAAAGCCAAAACGAAACCACTATGATAATTCACTTTTCTGTTTTGAAAATTTTGGCCAGAACAGGTCAACTAATTGACTGCCAAACACACTGTACTGCATATCAAAGCAGACTGAGTAGTTGAGACCTGCTGTTTTATATATTATGTTTTACTTTGTATTTTATTTTTTGATTTTACTTTATTTTATTTCATTTTATTTTCTATTTTATTTAATTTTATTTAATTTCATTTCACTTTATTTTATGTTATGTTATTATTTTTACTGCTTTTAGGTTTTTAAATTTGATTTGGGCCTAGGGAGGTAGAGTTTGGGGAAAGGCAGGAGCCTGTGCCCCAGGGTCTGCTGGCTCTGCCAGGGGCCCCCATGTGCTCAGGGCTGGGGGAGCTGCCCTGGGGCTGAGGGAGCTGCCCTGGGGCTGAGGGAGCTGCTGTGGGG